TAGATAGATAGATAGATAGATAGATAGATAGATAGATAGATAGATAGATAGATAGATAGATAGATAGATAGATAGATAGATAGATAGTTGTCAAGGGGGGGTAATGTTTGTAAAAAAGAATACTAGGTAGGACAAATATGGATAAAGTTAGGGTATCAACATCATCTCACAACATGATCTGGTAGAAAATTAGGTCGAATTCTGTCCGAATATTATTAGGCTATATGTAGAAAATGAAAACCATCCGGATCAGTGTGGATCATTTTTAAGATCTGGTCTATAAAACAGGTGGTTGTTGTTTTGTAAGTGGCTTGTCGTATTGTCAGTGCAGTGGTGCAGCATGCGTGCACCTGAAGGGGGTCTGCATGCACCAGCAGAGCAGCTCTTTGATCGCGCGTCAGACCGCATGTGACGCGCTCTGAGTGGGGCTGTAGCCTGCATGTAGCTTCGGTGGGCGACAGTGGCCCTGTAACGTTCAGTCAGCTTTGAAAATGTAACGTTAGGGTACACAAAGGCTATTACATATATGCACGGAATGTTTCTGTTTATGGCGTCCGCGCGATTTGTTCTTTCACGTTTTTAAGATCCATTTAGCCTATGCACAACTAGACATGAAGTATGAATATTCACACACGCTCACGTTTCTTTCCCTCTCATTCACTCAAACACGTCTTACGAAATCGTAGTCAGGATATACAGTAAAGTTACAAATGCTGAATGAAAAATGCTCATCTATAATTTACTTATGGAAAACACATGCATGAAATTAACCTCACTTTATGAGCCATTTTTGCAATTAATTTGAACTAACTGGGTGTCATGGTGATTAGTGGAGGTATGAATTCAGTTCTGCTAAAGGAACACATTTGTTGTCTTCATTCAAGACTGTTCGTGGTTTAAAATCTTCATTTTGTGAAATGTTTTGCATGAAAGTGTGTTTGTGCTATCATATCTAGGAGGGACAACTCAAGGATCACAATATAGCCTAATGTTTCCCAAGAAGAGTGGAAACATGCGAAGAAAGCTTCAGACCAGCTTTGTTCTGTAGGCGTTCAGCGAGTCTCTGAAGAATGTGAGAATGGGTGAGAATGATGCTGCCCACACAGTTACATCACAAGCAACAGCGCCACCTCTCTTCTATATTTCGCAACGCGGTCTGACGTCATTTAGCCTATATTTACGTCGCCTGGAAATTAACGTAACATTCACGTCGGCCGTGTAGTTACACAGTGGAAATATGAGTTCACGACATTAGCAACAAATACAAATCTGTTGACGAACCTGTCAGGTATACAAATAAAATGAAATAAATAAAATAGACAATATAATAGCCTAATAAAAATCATAACACGACTTATACATACATAAAATAATAACTTTGACAAAACAATTATTGCTGTTATTTAAAAAATACATTAAATTATATATTATTTTATTAAATAATAATAATAATAATAACATAACTTATTGTTGACTAAATAACAGTTTCATAAATAACAACACATTATTACATTATAATTTAATAATAATAATAAGACAATTACATCATAAAGCTGCAACAAAACTAATAGTTTTCTTATAATATATAATGTATTTCTGAATATTTTCGATTTTATTATTATTATTGTTGTTGTTGTTTATATAGGTACAATATGAGTTTGCAGTATTACAAAGTTTCTAGATATTTATATTCTATATAAATAAATAAAAATAGACTAAATAATAATAATGATGAT